GTTTGTTAACGGTGGCGATGTGGTCTTATTGCTCGCAACGATCGTCAATATCAACACCAGGACCGCTGTGATCGAGTAGAACTGTACTTCGCTAAAATCGTAGAGATGAGTACGACTTCCGAAACCCTTGAAACAACGGTTGAAATTAAGTACATGTTACGAACCTTTGAAGAAGGTTGCGCATGAGTGGCGCGTTCATTGCTGCTTGCCTCAGTTTCCAAGGTTTGTACAAAGCCGCTACGAATAGGGTGCTTTGTATCAGAAACGGAGGCAGGTATAAATACCAATGCAGCGGCCTGAACTTGTGAGGGCACCCCGAGATGGTAGGCATTGCTATTTGAAGCGAGTCAGCACAGGTCTATCCGGTGTACTGAAAGCAGCTACCTTGCTCGATTAGCTGGTTGGGTACCTGCCGACCAGAGAGTCGGACATCGTTAGTGATCGTTAAACTTCAGGGTTTGGACTACTTACTGTCACTTTGATATGCGTGGTTATCAGGTAAGGGAGGTGACTCAGTGCGTATCCTATCGATATAGCTCTGCTGGATCGTTAGGTTACTATATCTTGGCATACTCAATATACGCACACTACTGTCCGGGTCCTTGCATACCAGTCAGCTGAACAGTTGTGCCCAAGTAGACCCGCCTGAATGTCCTTACCTGAGCGAATAGATAGCCCAAATTCTCGCAATAAGCACAGCTACAACCACGCGTTTAAATATGATCAGATTTCTGCTATTGCGCCACAGATGTTTTGCACTTACTTCCTACAATGACCATACCAATTATAAAGGTATATAAAACCCATAACCAAAGGAAGAAGCAGCTGGAGCGCTGTACATGTTAGGACATGTGACGCATGCTAGGTCGTATATGTACTACTCACGCCTACAACCACCAATACTATATTAGAGGTCGTTGAACGGCTGAAGAACGAAACACGTACCGGTTCAGGTAAGTTATACATAAACAAGACTGCCTTAAGGCTCAGCCTGTATTCATATCGCAGATTGCTTACTTACATGGCATTTGGATGCTGTATATCATGACTACTTTTCAGAGAAGTATCATGCCAGCGCATATAATCGGCAACTCACATCAACGCCAGCGGACTCCACGCCCGGTTTATATGAAACATTATGCGCCCAAACGACCAGCGAGTGCCCCACATATGCTTGGTTTCACTGGGAAGTGTTTCCCCGAATTCGCACACTAGCAAAGCGCTGGCGGCCACTTGAAAACAATGAGTCGACAACTAGTTGCGTGGTAAAGGTCGGACGTCGGCTTACGAGAGACATATTTAACTGATTGGTGTCTGCCGTACAGTTCGTTCAGGAATGACTGCATAGTTCTCTTCGAGAGAATCGAGCTGCTAAGTAGTAATCGACAAGAACTAGTGAATAAAGGGGCAAGGGATACTTCAAAGAGTATATAGATCACTCTTATTTATGTGCTCACCGCGAGATGCCGCGGAGGACTAGTTGGACCGCCGGTAGAATGTGCCACGCTATGGCTCCCACAGGGCGGCTTGTGGGCGTTTGCCTTACAAGTCTGGCATAGCCAACCATGAACCGAATATATTCCCCACCCCCGGTGAATCGATGGTACGCCAATGAAAGTTCCCTATAGGTGATTAGCGTTTAAATGTGAAAAGCATGATAATAGAATGCCACACGGGGTGTATCTCGATCAGGAAAGACGTCAAACCCATCCGATATTTGCAATGGGTAGAAATGGCACACTGAGGGGCACTCACACCAAGGCTGGCAGTGATGGGAGTTATTCATGCTACATTTGAGTAAGGGAATCCAAATCGTTCCTGGAACCGCAGCGAACAGGTTATTTCTAAAGATGCATTCCACCGAAGGGTGGTTGTTAGACGGGTGACCCACGTTACGAATCTTAAGAATAGCGCGCGGCACCGAGTGCAATGCTCCCAGGGGAGAGTCGATCTCCATTCGCCAGCACATCACAATTATTAGGCCGTCGAAATGCCGTGTTTCCACTCTAGAAAAAGGAAATGGGTGGTCTGTTGGCTCGGCGTATGTCGGGGGATCTGGATTGCTTTACGCACGGAGATTCGTGCACCACCGAGGACCTGCTAAGCGCTCGGGTGGTTTGAAGCGGCTAAGCCGGAAATGAGGATGCAAGGTCCGCCCGGACGGACAATTCGAACCTGATCGTACTAAAGACGGGGAGGCTTAGCGGAAGAATCTTACAAGTTGGGACGTAGCGCGCCGCGCTTCGATACTTCGTGCTCGTTAAGTTCGCCAGCTCACCCCTCTGAAACTCAGCTCGAGCCATGTCCCGCAACGCAGACGGCACCTTTTCCTCTCTCGTCACGCCTCTCAGCGAAGCAGAGTATCCCCGTGATGACCAGACCATCCCACAATTCATGCTTGACTCTGCGCACCCTCTGCGGCCTGTGCGCGACAGCCCGTGGTTAATCGAGGACGAGACTGGACGCACGATCGGATTCGAGGAGGTCCGAGCGCGTGTATGGGGGCTTGCCAACGCGATCAGTGGAAGGTGGCCGGACATTGGTAGGTGATCTAGTATGTCTAGGCTCGAGGGTGTTGCTAAACTCGTTCTTTCGCCGTGTACATAGTCGAGGATGACGTTGGTACGTGTCTTTGACGACCTCGACTAAGCGCCCGGCTAACTACCCCGCCTTTCCCCATTTCTGACATTAATAGTTTGTATCTTCTCCCCCAACAATGTCGACTATCCTATTGCCATCTGGGCAGCACACCGACTCTCATTGGCAGTGTCTTGTGCGAACCCAGGATACACTGAAGATGAGCTGGTGTATCAATTAGAGGTGCGTGTTGGCTTGGGCATCCGGCCGGCGCATGAAATAAACTGCGATCAACTTTCCCAGGCTACGAAAGCGAAAATATTATTCGTCCACCCTGGAAGCTTGAAGACTGCCTTGGGCGCCGCGAAGAAAGTTGGCCTGTCAACGGAACGAATTGTGTTGCTCAAGGAAGCGAAGCCAACAGTTAATGTAACGAAATTCGTCAATGTTGACACACTTGTTCAAGGTGAGTTTGCTCACTTCTGCGCGCTGAGCTTTGCCTTAACATCCGCCTTATCCTCCACTAGAGGGTCTAATATCCTCGGCCTATTTCAAAGAAAAGCGTTTGGCTCCAGGAGAGAACAAGACCAAGATCGCGTTCTATTCATTCTCCAGGTCTGCCAAGCTTGAGTATCCACGTTCCAGTCAACTCTAATTGTAAAATTCGTTTCAGTGGGACAACCGGCAAGCCGAAAGCAGTTGCAATCCCACACCACAGTGTTATTGCCAATGTCATTCAAACTGCGGCACACACAAAGGTTATGGACCCGACGCTCACGCGCCAGACGGCACGCTACAGGCGAGGAGATGTAGCAATGGCTGTTCTACCCATGTTTCGTGCGTGCACCTTCGTTTAATACCCAAGGCACGAGACTGACCTTGGGAGATCTTAGACATTTATGGTTTAATCGTCGTCGTGAGTATGCGCAATGTTCGGGGGGAATCCGAACTAATGGTGGTGTCGTAGATGCATTTCCATATTTTTGCGGGTTTACCGCTGGTGGTCGTTCCTAAGTTCAGTTTTGTTGATATGCTCAAGAGCATTGTGAAATATCGTATTACACACCTTTGGTACGTTGTTCTTTTGCTCTGTGGTTCGTAATCTCATATTTGACCCTCAGCTTGGTGCCTCCGCAAGTTGTACTCTTCTGCAAGGTTCGTGTTTCTCCATTCAAAGCGCGGGATGTACTCACATATACGTACTTTAGCATCCCGCCACGAAGGAATACGACCTTTCTTGTCTCCACTTCTGTATGGTTGGCGCGGCGCCGCTCTCCCCCGAGCTTACCAACCAATTCAGGAAGCTCATCCCAAACCTGAGTGTTGGACAAGGATATGGTGCGTTCCATTGTGAATACTCCCTCATTCAGAACTGAACTCGGTATTACGCTGTGTCGCAGGCATGACAGAAACGGGTGAGTACTTTTCTCCTGTTTCGCGTGCACGAACTGACAATGTCGGACGGCAGCTACGAGTGTCGTAATGGCACCCATCGAGCATATGGGCTCGATTGATGCTCCCGGAAGCGCTGGTCGACTCCTCCCGAATACTACTGCCAAGGTTGTCAAGCTTGACGGTACACTAGCCGGATACAATGAGCCTGGCGAGTTGGTTGTGGCTGGCCCGCAAATGGCGCTGCGGTACGCCAACAATGAGAAAGCGTATGCCCTCGTCTCTGTCCCCACGCTCGACCCTGACGTGACAGATTCGCAGGACCAAGGAGACATTCGTGGATGGCTGGGTCCACACTGGAGATGAAGTGATTATTAATCGTGATGGCGACCTCTTCATCGTTGATCGTCTCAAGGAAATCCTCAAAGTTCGAGGGTTCCAAGTTGCCCCGGCCGAGCTCGAGGGGTTCCTGTTGGACCATCCGTTAGTAGCGGATGTAGGCGTCGTGGGATTCCCAGACGAATATTCAGGAGAAGTTCCGTTGGCGTTTGTCGCACTGAGCGAAGAGGGAAAAAAGGGAGGCAAGAAGGACGAACCTGCAATGAAAAACGAAATTAGGAAGGTACGTTGGTTTCTTCAAGTCGGTTTCTATATAATTAACCGTGATCCTAGTTTGTGGAAGACCAGAAAATTAAGTACAAGTGGTTGGAGGGAGGTGTCGTGTTCGTAGACGCAATTCCGAAGAACCCAAGTGGAAAGATCCTGGTATGTTTGTCGGAAACTCGTCATAACATGGAAACCGACACATAGTTTTTTTAGCGTCGTGTGTTGCGGGATCAAGCTAAAGGCTTAACGCCCGAGCAGAGGGGTGTCGCGCCGAACAAGGGGAAACTGTAAACTATGCTTTCAGTCAGGCTATTTCTGTCGTGATTCGGGCTTTCATATAGGGAATAAATGCGTGTATTACCTGGGACCTTAGGCCTCCATGTAAGCGTCTCGACTCGGAAAGTTACTTTGCGCCTTGCAAGTATAGCTTCTTAGCGCAGTGGAAGCGCGCGGGGCTCATAACCCCGAGGTCGCCGGATCGAGACCGGCAGAAGCTATTTTTTTGCTACCTCCAGTTGCCCTTCTTCCTCTGCTGTAGTGTAGCCTACCGGGTTCCCACCCAATTTACGTATATGAACAGACTTTCACCTGCCATAGATATTCTTTTTCAGCGCAGCTTGTGACTGGTTAGTTCCCAATACGCCTCTGTTATGACATAATCCACACTAAGCCACAGCTTTATCAATTATTGGTTATGTAACAGATTTTGCACGGTCCTCTCGCTATTATCTGCACCTAGGATGCGTAGAGGATAATATTGTTGGCTGGTCCATTCTGAGGGATAAGCCAAGGTTTTCACTCCGGCAACTTACTCTCTTGACAGTAAACCCGCCGCTCTGTTCACCCTAGTGATGCTATAACTTACATACTTTTGACACACGCAGCAGAGACAAGATGCTTGGTCTACTTCGGAAATCCTTGAGACTGGGGGTCGGCACGCTTCGCGTGCCGTGCCTGTGGATGACATAAGCAGTTTTTGCAAGAAAAGTGGCCCACATTCGTTCCTCACCAACGACGAGGCACTGAGATTCAGGAACACGCACAATCCGTGCAGAAGCATTGCGCGAGAGAAGTGTTCAGAACGGAATTCGTAGAACGGTGTCTTGGAATTTTTAAACACCCAATTAGATGTCCA